AAAAAAAAAAAAAAAAAAGGACCCGCTTATTAAAATTTACCAAAGGGTTGAACAAACAGTTCAAATACTCTGATAATAATAGAAACTGTAAGAGTGAATTCTCATAATCATATACACAGAGAGTATGTATATAACAAGAAGAATCAAAGGGGAAGAGGGACTGAGAATGTTCTGGGGTAAGGGAAATTCCAAACAAGTTTAAAGAAAAAAGAATTATTTTGTCTTTTTGTCTCTCTTCTCGGTTGTACATGTGTTTGATTCTTTACACCTTAATACCTCACTTTCCATGGTTCTCATTCGATCTCGAAAGTGAATTTTCTTACCCTTTCTCACCATTGATTATTTTTTCCTTTTTTCTGCCCATACCGTGGCTCCACCCATGGTTAAAAATACACCTAAAATCCGTATCCCAAACCCATTTCATAACAAAATCACATAATAATAAATAAACCACCATTATTTCTCCAGAGGAACTTTTTGGATCGTTTTGCTCTGTCAAGTCTCAGGGTGGCCCCCCCAATCCCCTTCTCTCAGTCATATTCCGTACCCCTTCCCAACCCTTGTCATCATAACTTTTCTCTCATCATTCTTCGGATCCCTCCTGCCGATCCATTCCTTTCGCTATCCAACCAACGAGGGAACATTCACCACCTGACTGATTCCCCGCTGGGAATTCTTTGCCTTAACACGACCCAGAGGGTTTTTCGCATGGTTGGTCTTCAGCAGCATTCCTTTTTACCTCACTGTTTCGTGACTGTGTTGCGCACCTTTTCCTTGATTGCGTGCGCCCTCCACTGGGTTTCGAGTTAAGCTGTCGAATCGTTCCTTGGACACACTGTCGCGCTTTCTTTCCTTTGTTCAAACCCAACAGCTGTAAAGATGCTGTCAGCTCCAGTGAAGTCGGCCAAGCGTATATCATCGCTTTTTTCCTTGGGGTCCAGCAAAGAGGCATCGATTCCCTCGTCGCCTGGGTCTCCCGGAGCCCCGAAGGCTTCCCCCGATCAACAGACTCAAGATGGACGTTATCGAAGCAGCTCGCGATCGGCTCGTTTAGCATCTAATCCAATTAGTGTTGACTATTCGGAATCCCGAACGCCTATATCGCCAGTCCCGAATGATAGCTTTGACTTGGATGCCCCTCTTCCGCCGCCCCCCTCACTTCTCGCCGTGAACCAGGATCTAGCCGGAAGCGCGCCCGGTTCGCCAGACTCGAGACCCCAAAGTAGAGGCCGCATAGCGAGTGGAAGCAGGCCTTCTAGCTCCGCGGGGCTCTTCGTGCCCGGAACTGGCCCTGATTCACGTCCCGGAACTCCTTCGAAGAGAAGGAGCTGGATTCCTGGACGGGTCCGGGCAAGCTCAGTAGACACTAGAACGGCACCCACGAGTCCTTCATTACCTAGCGCTTGGATTGCTGGGTTAGATCAAAAAATCCTATATGACCTGGAGCCTCTATCCAGAGGGGAACAGGTACGTAACAAGTTGTGGAATTTTGTACCCTCTTATGTCAACAAAATTTGGGGTGTTTAGAACTTACTAACCCCGGAATCCAATAGATTCCTGAACTGTGGAACGAGAATGGCGACACCTACGTCTATCTCTTCCCGCAGAATACAGGCAGACCCGCTTCCTTCAGAGTCGATTCGACCGTCTTTGCCGAATCGCCATCCCTGAATTTCCTCGCCCGGGGGACCGACCCCCGGACCCCAGGATCCATCGAACAGCAAACTCGCAATCTATCACTGGCATCCCCGGTCACGGGTCCTGCGTCACCGCCCCTGACTCCCCAAGACCGATTGCCGGACAATGACAATGACAATGACAACGACAGCACCGGTAGTAGGAGGATGGCCTTCGTGGAAGATGACGGGCAGGATGACATACAGGAACTTCATCTCTACCTGCCTATCCCCCTGAACAGCGATGTTTCTAGCCCTAGTAGCCGCATTTCACAAGAGGACACGGAAGCTCTGCTATTATTCCGTAATCTCTTTGCTTTCCTATTAGGACAGTCGCTAATTGCAACGCCTCGCTCCCCTTCGCTTTTCGCTATCTTTATGGATGTCGCCACACTACTCTCTCGATTCGAATTTACTAACTTCGACGGTTCCAACTTCGGCGAAACCGCAACCACGAGCTTCGGTAATTATTGTGACGAATTACACCTGGCAGATGTTCGCAAAAGCCGAGAGAAGACGATTGAAGCGATTGTTCTGGGAGAGCGTCTGCGCTTCTTCCCGCTGTATCTTGAAGGCTTCGTACATGGTGTAGGTAAATTGGATGAACTAAAGCAGCTGAGAAGTCCCAAGTTCGGTCTTATCAGCGCTGCAACCCAAAAGCGACTGGAAAGAGGCTTCATCGATTTGGATACGCGTCTTCGAGTTCTTTACGGCAAGCTCAATGACTTCGATTTCCCTTCTGCATTTGCCGGTGCTGCCAATTCGACCACGTCTGCCGAAAGCAAGGTGGTCCGCTTTAAAGCGTGGAGGGCAGCGTTCATGGATATGCGACGCCATACCATCCAGTATTACCGACAGAGATATGGCTCCTGGCCTCCTAAAGCGCGGTCTAAGAAAAACCAGTTTGAAGAGAACGGTCTTAATCGCCGGGTCTTGATGGAGCTATATAATGACTTCGCTAACCTCTACGATATGCTGGTTGACCGGTCTTCCCTCACTACCCGAACTGTAGATATGGGTGCCGAGGAGGTAGCAGAAGCCGATGACCTCAACACAATGACAAACAGGGCACTCCGGCAGGTCTTGAGCGAGTATGATAGAAGCACACCGCCCGTCCAGCCTCCGATTCCTTTCGATATCCCGCAGTTCCCCTCTCTGCAACCGCTACAGCGCAAGCCTATGGATGCCAAGAAGGAGGCCAAAAAGAACGCAAAAAAGCTCAAGGATGCTGATATCAATGCTGTCCTGATGGGCTCCTACACCCGTGAGAGTCTCAAGCCGACGCCATTCATCGAGTCATTTATGCAATTTGAGCGGCGGTGTGGCCATGGGAAGACCATCAACGACCTTATAGATCTTCGATGTGGCCAATGGATTTTCCTGTACTGTGTCATCCAGTCCCTTCCCCTGCTCGTGGTGGATGTGCAGGATGTCAAGTACACTGATGGAGTCGAGTACTTCTGTTGTATCGCCCCTCGGGGTGGTGCTCCTTGGATTCAGAATGATGGTAAAGTGGCACGGAGTTGGTTTGGCGTGGCAGGCGGGGCCGGTGTCGTCAGTCTCCCGTCTGATGTAGTCATCAATGGCGTGGAGGGCATCTATCGGCGTAGTCACTGCTGGCAGGTTGCTGAGCAATGGGCGGAGAAGGATGCCATTTTGGCTCCCCCGACGGTTGAGGATCCTTATGACAACGAGTCGTCGCTGTCTTCGCCCTACCAGGCCCAGCAATCGTCTGCAGGTTCGTCGGCAGAACATCAACAGCAACAACCCACCCCCCTCCTGGCCCCAGGAGGTAATGGCCTCACGCCTCCCCCAGTTATCCCCCGGACAAACTCTCCAGCCTTGAGAAGCCGAGCGGAACATCGACACTCAATCTACCCAGGTCTAGAAGCACTTCCGCTACCAGCTGGCGTTGCCCCGATTGACCCACCTGCCAGGCCCATCAGCAGGTTCAATCCCAACATGAGTTTTGATGACATTTTGAAACAGGTCCCAAACCAGAAAGGGAAGAAATAAAGACTATGAACTAGTGTGTACAATGTCTGGTTGAAGCCCTTTTCATGACAGGGACACGGGTTCTACTTTTTTCTCTTTCTTTTTCCTCCCTCCCCCTTTCTCCCTCTTTCCTCTTACCTCAAAATTTCTTCTCCTTTCTTCCTCTTCTCACATCAAGGCCACGGATCTTTTTTCCCTTTATCTTGCATTATTAACTGCGTGCCTTTTCAGCTTTCGTGTCTTTTCCTCGACGCCATCGGCTCTTAATACTTCATCCTCTTCCCCCTCTTGTTCGTATTTAACGTCGGTTATTGACCATTATGGGCGCACATAAATCTATTTGGACCACAAGGCTGGAATGGCGTAATTACAAATCTATCTGACTCCCAGGCCTGGAATTGAAAGAGAAGATGGGTGCTTCACTTTGACTATAGCGTGCATTAAACAGAATGGCAAGATTGCCATGGTTTCGAAGATCTCTGTCTTAGCACTGCGTTCCTTCACCATGCAAGCATATAAACCTTTCTTCTCTTCTCTTTGTTTACGTTCCTTTTTTTTTTTTTTTTATTTCTCCCTTTTTCTCCTTGGCGAATTCCCTTGGAATTCTTCTCTCGACCTGAAGACGGTCTGATTTGATGTTATTTACTATGAGCCTGATAGAGATAATGGTCCGTGTTGGACTGGTAATATAATAAACCCCTCCTTTTTTTGGGCATTATACAAAATCTTTCTCTTTCTCTCTCCCTCTTTCCCCTCCCTCTTTCTTTTTTTCTTTTTTTTTTTCTTTTGGAAGGGGGGCGGGGGGCTTTTGTAACTCCCAAAAATTTAACTATTACCTTCAATACTCTAATTTACTATATCTTTTAATAGAGGATCACGGTGTTCGCTGATCCCTTCTCGCTGAGGTTATCTACACGAGATTATTCCTAGCCATTTTATGTAAATTCTTACGATACAGAGAAGTACTACTGCTAATTTGCCGATCGAAAGTCGCCTCCTCGCCAAACAGGATATCTGTCAGCGACCGGCGCTAAACCAGCCACTTCGTTTAGTGCGGAACGGCGGCTGTTGAGGGCGAGAGCACAGCAACAGCTGTAAGTAAAGGAAAATGACGCACATCTTGTCCCATGCATCGATTTGTCAAGGACAACTAAACATAACGCAGGTATCTAGGCGGCGAAAGAGGGTGGGGGGAATAAGAAATGAGAAGGAAAAATGGGAATCGCTCAGACCCGGGCAGAATAGTGGCCGTTATCGCGGATCGGCCTCAAAACCTGCAGCTAAATGAATTACCTCATGTCCGGGCCAATGCTTAAATGATCGACTTCGTATTGGTTTTCTGTGTGGTAATTACGCTAAAAACACAATTTCCCGCAATTTTTGCGGTCAGAATCGCCATTTTCTCCGCTTCAGCTTCGATGCGCGTTCACTCGCGTCCAAAGCTGCACCGATCGATGGAATGCGGTAGCGGCACCCGCCCAAAGCCTTGACCATGTCCAGGTCACGATCTAGCATTGCGAGTGACGGCAGTGATCGCTTGGAACCGCGTTTATTACGAGCGGTCGAAAATGACAGTGTCGAGGCGCTGAGGCACATTATCGAGTTGGCCCATGAGAATGGCCAGTACAGCGACAACTTTCTGCGAGTTGGGCTTATGCGAAGCTGCGAGCGCGGATGCATTGCCGCAACGCAGTATTTGCTGGACTTATTATGTGTGAATCTGAAGGATGGAAATGATCGACCCTCTCCACTCGCCGCGAATAATCGTCCATCACCGCTATTACGCGCCGTTGAGCGGAATCACGTCCGAATAGTGCAGCTGCTGCTTGATTATGGCGCGCCTCTAGAGACAACGGATAAGGATGGTCGGACGGCGTTGATGACAGCTGCCTGGAAGAACCATTGGCATGTGCTGCAAATCCTAATCGCACGAGACGCAAACGCCAACGCGAAAGATCACAGGAAGAGGAATGTGCTGCATAACCTGGCAGCGGATAAGCACTGCAACTGGGGTGAAGATGTGATCGCACTTTTGTTGAAGACAGCTTGCGAGATCGATGGTGAAGCCGGCCAGGATGAGTTGGGTCGGACTCCACTGCACTGGGCCTGCGCGACGGGGAAGTTGCGCTTCGCAGAGTTGCTTTTGACAAGACCACATGGGCCGATTGCAAACGTGAATGCGGTTGAGTTCAGAAATAAAAGTGCGCTCCATATCGCAATCGCTCACGATTGGGACGATATTGTGCATCTTCTACTCCGACACGGCGCAGATATTGACTCCAGAAGTGATGGCGGCTGGACTCCGCTGCATAATGCGTGTGATAAGGGCGCTAAGGAGATTGTGCGCATTCTGTTGCGCGCTGGGGCCAAGATCAACAGCCAACTTTTGAATGGTGTCACACCACTGCATCTGGCAGCCCAGGCAGGACACACCGAGGTCGTCCAATGTCTCCTGGAGCATCCGGATTTGAAGCGGAGGATCCGTGATAACTTTGGCTGCACGCCATTCTTGCGAGCAGCACAGTTCAAGCGCAAAGATATTGTGTTGCTTCTTGCACCATACAATAATGTAGATGCACTTTCGCCGGATGCGCGGGGCGCTTGCGAAGGTTTCGAGGCGACAGTTGTCGACTTTGGAAACTTTCGCAACGAGAATAGAGTGAGAAAAACGTCAGTTTATAACTTATTATACGGGCGAGACCCCGAGAATCCACACAAACAAGCTTTTACTACTGTTCCCACGAATAGTAAAGTTACCGACTTCAGGTGGATTCATCTTCCCGCAAACAACATGGCTTGGGTCGAGGGGCTCCTCACCAAGAATTTCATCGAGGAGGGCGCGCACGACATCGATAGCTTCAAGGGCCTTGAGAGGTCGTTCCACTACCAACATCGAGGTCAAAGAACGCATTCTCACTTTATGCGACCAATGTGTCAACGCACGCAACGCAAGCAACGGTTTCAAGGAGAAAATGAAGAAAGCCCAGATCAGAACTTGGAGGTTGAGAACAAGCTCCCTCAGATTGTCATAAATGGGCGTCTCCAAGAGCCACCGAAAAGTTCGGCAAATGGCGGTAGCAACAAAGCAAAAAAGCAGAAGACACAAGGAGGAAAGTCAGAACGGGCCGACTCTGACGATACCTCGAATAGCTCGCACGGGAAAAAAGCGAAGAACAACCCTAAACGCGGTAAATCGAAGGGTGAATTGGTGCATAAGTCTAAGAATGACGAGCAACTTCGACATCCACTTTCTCTCTGCAAAGACAACGGACATTCTACCACCAGCAATGTGTGCGTGTTCATGCCATATCTTCACTTCGAAACGGCTGAAAGGAGACTGAAAATGCAAGAAGCAATACAACGAGCTGAGACGCTTAATCTTCAACCTGGACTCTCTCGCTCCCCTACACGAGATGAGATGCTTATCCGCGCACACCTGGCATCTTCCACGGCTTCGCTTCATGTCCGACGAACACTGGACCAGTTTTTCTACCCTAATATAGATACACAGACCCGAGATCAAGACCAGGTTGTGTATCGCTATCAGACCGAGGGGCAAGGACGCGAGCGATACGGAACGGAACCCAAGATTTTCATGGTGGATCAACTGTGGATGTGGATCATGGGAACGGATCTGATCGTCACCTGTTTCGCACAACGATGGGAACAACCAAAAAATGACCCGCTAAACGTTCTAGACGGTATCATCGAGGACATAAACTCTAAGACTCAAGAACCAGTTCGTTCCGTATATGATTTGGCCAGCATCATCACTAATCGTTGTTCGGGTGTCTTTGACCGCCACCGTATGGGTGACGACGAGTACCAGTTCTTGGACATGTTTGAGTCCTCAATTGGCATCGCAACAGACCGCGAGACAGTGCTTTTTAATCGGTTTAACCGCGCATCAGCCCAGGCCTCGGACTGGCTCAAGAACCATCGCAAGTTGAGTCGTTTTGCTCGGAACTCGCGGTCGAAAAAGGATACCACCAACCGTGACGGCGATAAACAGTTTGAAGAAGACGAAGATGAAGTACCCCTATTCGTGGATAATCTCCTCGATATCGGGCAGGAGATCGACCTTCTCGCTGAGGCTAAGGATATCCGTGACGAACTCAATATGATTCGCACAGTTCTACAATACCAGCAGGATGTCCTACTTGACTTCCAAGACGTCATCCTTGGGATTTACCAAGTACAGCATCGATCACAGTACGACATCAAGAGACGATTCAAGGAACAGCAGCGCACGATCGATATGCACCTTAAGGACATCGAGCGGATGGACAAGCAAGCAGAGCGTATATATTCATCCATCACGGATTTGCTAGATCTAAAGCAGAAGCACGCAAACGCTTTTGAGGCCCGATTCGCTCGCGACCAAGCTGCTGGCACAACCCGCCAGGGTAAGATTATGATGGTGTTTACTATCGTAACAACTGTCTTTCTGCCCCTGTCATTCATCGCAACCTTTTTTACGATGAATCTCGAAGAGTTTCCCCACAGCGCAGACGGATCGGAGCAACTCCCACTCTCATACGTCGCAGAATACACATTTGGCATTGGGGTTGCCATTTCTATCCCACTTATTCTCCTTGCCCTAACTGTAGATGATATCGGCGATGGATGTCAGGAAGCCATCCGGCGGACCCGCCGGTGGATGTTTCATAGAAAGAAGAAACCTTGTGGGCGGTCCGCGATCGAAGAGCCAAGGCCGAAAACAGCATTAGGATTGGACAAGGTCCTTAGTGGGACAAAGTCCCGGAGAAGTGTTGATACAGAATTGGCTGGAAGCTTGCTACCTATCTCTTCTAGAGAAACCGTTCGTTCTTTGGGTAAAAGAAGCATACTTTTGAGGCGGGACGAGGTACTTTGATGATTTTATGAAAGACAGAGATATGATGTATATTATGAAATTAGTCCATACTTCCTGTATTGATGCCCCATCACATGACAGTTACTTCCTTCCCTCAACTTCTTGTCTCTATGCCTTCCGTCTATCTTATCTCACATGCCCTCCCACTCACACTTCGGAGTTCTGCAGTCTTATCGCCCAAATTCGCATGTGGATCCGGATGTCCGACATCAGGGACTCGGGATCTCGACGATCCGCACCCGTCGGGTTCCGCGGGGATCTCGATTCCCTCCCGATCAGGTCCACAGTACAGATATCTGCTGGAGGAATTCTTCACGAATATTTGGTTCCACCAGAGAAGCTTATTCCTTTCTAGGAGGCTGTGTGCAATGCCTAGATCTCCCGAAACCTCCCAGATTTATGCTAGCACGTGTGTTGTTGCGGAGCTCCCTCGGGGGGACTCGGGCGCAGAAGCTCTCCGTGAGTCAGTCACCCCTTCCTTTCCTCGCCGGTGGATCAATTGACTACCTCCGGTGAGATGGAAGCAGGATAGAAGCCTCGAAATCTGGCGGAGTCGTGAAGTTATCGTCGTTGAAGTGGACATTGATGTACTCCGATTCATTCCACCGCCTTAACTTTTGTTTCCATGCGCCGAGGAGATGAGGTCATCATGTGTTCAGAACCAGAGACTCGCTGTCGTTTTGCTTTGTCAATCCATTCGGTCGTTGAACCTTAAACAACTACATAATAAGCTCCTCGATCGAAATGTCAGTGTCTGCAACTTCACTTGGAGAGGCTGGTTCTTAAATCTGTATATTGGAGATGAAGTCGGTGTTTGTGAATAGCCCCGTCCGTCTCGGACGGATATCACGGTCTTTGCTATCAAGTACATACCGAGTGAGGCACTCGAAATTTTTACAGTGTACACGATGCCTGGCCACGCAGGTTGATCATTCGGCTGCAATTCCTGAATCCGACAGTAGGAAGGAAAGAGTAGTCATTCTTGGATCCGGTTGGGGAGGGTATACCCTCTCCCGAAAATTGTCGCCAAAGTCGTTCGCGCCGGTCGTTATCTCCCCCCGTTCATACTTTGTCTTTACCCCGCTTCTGACTGACGCTGCTGGCGGGTCGCTGGATTTCTCAAACATCGTGGAGCCAGTTCGGGATCCTCACGCTAAGGTCGATTTCATCCAGGCTGCTGCACGAGCTGTCAACCTGGAAAAGAAGACTGTTCTTTGTGAGTCAACCGTGGTCACGAGCGGCGTTACCGAGACGCCGCGGACACACGAGCATGAAAGGGAGTCTGAAGAAGGCCCGGAGACCACCTCAATGAGACCCATGAAAGAGGCACGCAGGTGGGAGAAGGGAGATTTCTTCGAGGTTCCCTATGACAAACTAGTCATCTCCGTTGGTGCAGTCAGCAAAACTTTCAATACCCCCGGAGTGAGGCATAATGCCATGTTCTTCAAGGATATCGGTGACGCGCGACGCGTGAGACGTCGAGTACGAGAATGCTTCGAGCTGGCGGTGCTACCGACCACGACTCCAGAGATGCGGAAATGGCTGCTACATTTCGCTATTGTTGGTGCTGGGCCGACAGGAACTGAGCTGGCGGCATCCCTCCGTGACTTCATTTACAAGGATATGACGATACTATATCCTGCCCTGAAAGATCTTCCCCGCATCACCCTTTACGATGTAGCACCGAAGGTGCTATCTATGTTCGACGAGTCCCTATCAAAGTACGCCATGGAGACCATGAAGAAAGAAGGCATCGACATCAAGACCTCGCACCACGTAGAAGGACTTCGCTGGGGTGAGCCAGGAGCGGAGCCTCCCTACGAAATGGACCCCAAACGCTGCCTCACAGTCACAACCAAAGAAGAAGGCGAAGTAGGCATCGGAATGTGCGTTTGGGTAACCGGAAACGCAATGAACAAGTTCGTCAACAAAGCTCTCCAGGACGTGGAAACATTCCCCACCGCATCAGCCCTGTTGAAAGACGGCACTCAACCTCCCCCAGAACTCATAAAAGACACATCATGGCACATCAAAAAGGCACCCAAAGTGGGCGCCCTCCTCGTTGACGGACAACTCCGCGTCCAACTAGAAAATGCCAACGGCGAAACCGCCGTCCTCCAAGACGTCTTCGCTCTCGGTGATAACGCTATGCCGGAAACCGGTGCACCGCCCGCGACAGCGCAGGCTACGACCCAGGAAGCGAAGTGGCTCGCTACCAGACTGAACAAAGGCGATCTTCAGAGATCCCAACCGTTCTCCTTTCATAATATGGGCACCCTGGCGTATATTGGAGATGCCAATGCGTTGATGCAGTTTCCTACCGATGATGATAAACCGCCTAAGTATTTGACGGGACGGATGGCATGGTTTGTGTGGAATTCGGCGTATTTAACTATGAGTATGAGTTGGAGGAATAAGTTGCGGATTGCGTTTCGGTGGTTATTGAACAATATCTTTGGGAGAGATGTGTCGAGGTACTAACTAGCCTTGGAAGCCTTCCGTTAGAGATTTGAGAGGGATAGATTTCTCTACTTTGTTTTCTAGAAATACATCCATGGGTATATGAGAGGCTGAACCCTTGAAGCTTACCTACTACACTGCCGTGGCGTCGGAGTGTTACTTATATGTTGATCACTGGGCTTACAGTTTGAATATCTAGACAAAGAAAAAGTATCACAATAAAGCAAATAAGATGTATTAAGACATACATAATCTATGAGAAATCTAACTAGGTATTATAGGATGTGTATCTTCTAGTAATGTAGATATAATGGTGTTCCCATCCGGCACTCAAACTCTTAGTCTATTTACATAATAACGGGAAGGTTGCGAGTCAAATAGCCACGCCACTCAGGAAGAGAGCGCTGGTACTTGGTTCCAGTTGACTTCTGCAGATCCTCAATGGCACTAGCGTACTTGATCAAGGTAGGCTCCGAGAAAGCCGTGTTCATGATAGCCAGTCCGAAAGGCATGCCGGACTCCTTGCCGACGCCAGCCGGAACGGTAATCACGGGGTACCCAGCCTGGGCGGCGATCTGGATGCTTTGCGCAACATCCGGAGGCACGAGGAGGCCGTCTAGGGTTCCGTTCTTGTACTTCAGGGCGGCATCGATTCCTTCCTCGCGGGTGGTGCGCTGGCAGAATCCGAGAGCCTGGTAGTAGGTCTCATCCATGATACCCTTGCTTTCGAGGGATGCGATCAGACCGTCCTGGCCGGAACCGAACGCGGGGTGGATGCTTGCGTACCCACCTTCGGAGCCGTAGTTGTCGAGATAGTACTGGACGAGGTCTTCGACAGACCTGACCATGGTGTTCTCGACCTCGGACAGATAGTCCTTGAGGTTGTTGTAGAAGTCGACCTTGATGTAGCTGTATTCGGATTCGTTGGCATATCCGCGAGTCGAGCCATAGTCCCAGTTGAAGCCGTCGGGGGAGACGATGGTCTTGTAGTGGGGCAGTTCAGTGCCGTTGATCACGGTGGCACCAGCCTGCTTAATCAGGTCGACCAGCTCAAGGAGCTGAGAGATTTGATCCTCGTCACCAAGGGCCCAGAAGGACTTCCAGGGGATACCGAATGTGGCGCCCTTGAGGGCGGTCCTGTTGGTGAGGAACTGCGCGTAACCGCCCTCAGGGGTCTTTCCCTTTTGGGCGAGTGTGTAGTTATCGCGAGTATCGATGCCATAGATGGCGTCAAGGGCATAGACTGCGTCGCGCACTGTCTTGCCAAAAGTACCAACAGTATCCTGGTGCAGAGATTCGGGAATGACGCCAGCACGGGAGGTCAAACCGACAGTAGGCTTGATGCCGACGACCGAGTTTCTCTGAGCGGGGTTGATGACACTGCCATCGGTTTCCGTTCCCAGGGCGAAGGGAATCAGATTGGCACCAACGCCGACACCGGACCCGGAGCTGCTGCCACCAGGGTTGACAGTGAGGTTGTATGCGCTGCGGCATTGGCCTCCACGGGCCGAAAATCCCTCGGAGTAGTTGTTGGAACGCATGTCAGCCCACTCGCTCAGGGCAGCCTTACCTAGGAGGAGAGCACCGGCTTTACGAAGGCCGAGAACAACATGGGAGTCACGAGGCACGACGGATCCCAGAAGCGCCCAGCTGCCCGCAGTGGTTTCCAAACGATCCTTGCTAGCGATGTTATCCTTGACAATGAACGGGATGCCGTGGAGCGGGCCGCGGGTCTTTCCCTGCGCGCGTTCCTCATCAAGGGCTTTCGCTATCTTAAAAGCATCCGGGTTGACTTGCAAGATCGCACTGGCCGTGACGTCAGCGGGAACACATTAAATACACGTAGAGGAAAACCTACTTCAAATAAGGCTGGGTCTGGTAAATGCGCTCCAGATAGCATTGCACGAGGTCAACGCTGGTCAGATTTCCAGCCCCAAGTTGCTCCTGGATGGCGTCGATGCTGGCTTCCTCTAGCTTGAAGCCATTGCACAAACGCATGGGGAAGAGTGAGGCTCCATTGACGCCCAAGGTAGGGAAATCATATTCGTAGGGGTTTGTCACAATCTGAGAGGCGACCAAACTATCGTCATTGGCCGGCTCGGTGCTGGCGGCAACAGAGTTTGCCAACACAAGGCCGGTGGTCAAAAGTCGACCGAACACTTTCGAGACCATGATGGTTGCGCCGAGATGGAAAACTGGTGTTTGGTAGGAACAACCACCTTAAACGGGGGAAGATCGACCTTTTTGATCAGGGGTCGATCCCACGCGAGGGGCTAAGCAATGTAGGGGGCGGAGCGTTTTTTGGTTTGTTCCGGAACTCCACGTTCATATACTCATCTGAGAAGGTCGTCGTGGACATTGACAAATTAGTTCCACCTTTGCAAGTAATAGTTTGATACTGGCAGCGATGAGAGCGAACCAGAGCAGAGACACAAGCGGCACTAAAAATCACCGAACCAGTGTGGAAAATTCCCCACTCTTGGATCGGGGTGGTGGTGGTGGAACCTGGTTATTGTTTTTGCGACGTTTACAATGCCGTTTTGAGATGGATCTCGATCTGATCAAATCGGGCTAGTCGGTCATGTGTCTGCCAATACCGTGATCCTGTAACTTTAGGCGTTCAGATCGTATTTTGGGTTCATCCTGCAGGTCAGCGAAAACAGCTATCGTCGGACTTGAATGAGATTAACTTCAGGGGAAGAAAAGAGACGAACGTCGTTGGTCTCCTTATCTCCACTGCAGAAATTTTCAATGCAACGTCAGTATTCTTTCATAATCCATTATATGAAAGAACTAAAGTTAATTAGCAATCAGATTATTCGCTAAACTAGGCAACGCCTCCACCATCAGCCCATACAATGCGCCTCTACCGACTGTCAAGCCTACGGCTTCGGTACTCTGCGGATCTCACTCGATGTCACTCGGTATCCACCGCAACCAGACTTTCAGGCGCATCGCTGGAGCTGATTTGACGAATGGTCCATTACTGGGCAATGCGAGCCATTCTCAGAACGTGGTTAAAGTTCTGTAACGGAGTCAATTTTTTTCTTATTAGTGTTTGTGTTCTTTATTCATCATGAAACAACTGTGTCTGCCTTTGTTGGAGGGACACGGCACGCCTGCCTTTAAGATGGCACGCACGTCCCGCTGAGTGAGGCCCAATCCTGCCTTCTGTGGATCGTTCTCCATGGGCATTCCCGATGACATTCTCCTCGCGGATGCCGCGGGGAGGATCCCTTCTGGGATGTCGCTCGAGTATCTCGCTGAGTCGCGCGATCGCCCGGCCATTGTGGCCATCATATTCCTGGTGTGCTTCACCGGGGCGATCATGATAGTGCGTCTCTACGCACGGATATGGCTTGTCAAGAAACTCGGCCTCGACGATGCTCTGGCCATTCTCACTATGGTATGATTACCCAGGACAAATCCTCAGATACGACGATGGAATTCGAATTGACGTTAGTCCCGAAATAGATGATCTACATCTCTTTTGTCGTTCTATCCCTCGTTTTGATTGATTTGGGAAGTGGTCGTCATATGGATTACATCCAGTATGTCCTGGCGATGCCCACGGTGCGTCAGACTGAGGTTCTGGATTTCGTTGCACACGTTCTCTACACCACTGCTCTGTTCTTTTGTCGACTATCGGGTTTGGCTTTCTATCACCGCCTGGCTGCACGCTCCAGCAAACTACACCTCGCCATCAAGATTGCAGCCGGCTTCCTATTCGCCGCGTATCTTCCCCAGCTGTTTCTATTAATATTCCACTGTCGACCTGTAACCGGACTATGGCCTTACCCCTGGCAGGAAGAACCGATCAGCTACAACTGTCTAACTTGGGGTCTGGTCTATTCGGTCAACTCCGGTGTTTCATTGACCTGCGATGTGCTCATGTTTATCATCCCGACCATCCTTATCAAGGAACTCCACGTCTCGTTCAAGAGGAAGGCCCAACTCTCTATCGTTATGTTTCCAGGTGTCCTGTAAGGTTTATCGATTCCCGTCATATCCCCACCAGATCTAACAAGAGTGCAACAGTGTCATTGTCATTTCCGCCGTCCGCGTTTACTTTGTCGCCGTGGGCCAATGGGCTGATGACGGTAGTTGGGCCTACAACCCCATGATGGCCATTGAGAATGCTGAGATTGCAGGCACCTTGATTGCGCTGTCTGTGCCGGCTTTGAAGCCAGTCTTTGGGAACATATTTACTCATCTGACTGAGTACACGCTTTCGACACGCAACCGGTCTAATATGAAAAGCCAATCGAAGCCTACATCGGGTTTAAGGTCTAGGGCTAGAGACAGTAAGCGCCTGTTATCTTGGTCCAAGCACGGTTATGAAGACTACGAGATGATGGGTTCGGAGACTAATATCCCCCCAAGTGGCCCGGTACAGTCGTCGGAAGCAGGTAGCCCGGGGGGTAAAAGCATCGGAGTGACCACCGAAGTCTCGATATTCCATGGACAACAGGAGGCGGATCAGAGACATATTGTGTAAAGAAAGTAATACATACTGTACGACACTGCGAGCTATTCTTGGACATAGATTACACAGAATTAACACTTCAGTTTCTCTTCGTCACACTTTCGGTCTTGTTTCCTTTTTCGTAATACCTCGGCAGTAAGATAGTCCTACGTATGAGTGATTTGTGACTATTCGAAGTAGTATAGAGAGAAAAATATAGAAAAATAAATAAATAAAATTAAAATATTCAACAAAGTTTTCCAAATCGATAGTGTATCCAAAACATCGTCGGGATACATAATTTAGACGTTCGTTAGAGAATTCCAGAAAAACGCGCACGCCTATTAATAGGCAAAAGCCAAAATATGCCCTAACATGAACCCTGAGTCCCGAACACCATGTGGATCTCTTTGCAGACTCTCTCTCGAACTGAAGGAAGCTCTATCCCTTTACAGAGTTTAACACGTGAAAATCGATATTCCAGTTTTAAGTCACGTAAAAGTTTGCCTTGTGGATCTGCGATGTCTCAAACGTGTACCCACAGCTCTTCAACCAGTGGGAACCAAAGCTAAGCTATAAAAGTACATATATGTAAACGTAAAAAAAACAATGACGAAGGGTCAAAAATGGATAAACATATACGATTCAGTCTGGTGTATGGGAGTTGGTCCATATTCTAGGCTCATAAGACATGCTTGTCCTTCCTCCTCTTGTCGCCTTGATTCTCTGATTATCCACTCCTCTCTGTTTTTTTCTTTTCTGATTTGCTCCTACTCGAAACAGGTTAGCTCACTCAGATCCGCAGCGTCTTTGGTAAACAATTGTCCATACATTCCTCAAACGCCGCCTAGAGCGTCGACGCCTTTTCCTGATGGCATTCGCGGTCTGAGAAAGGGGTTGTGGCTCAGGGGGCGTGGGACGAAGCATCTGATACAGCTGTCCATTTTGTTCAATAGAATTAGTAATTGTAAAGAATCCAGATACTCGGTGCACCGGGGGATATAGTTACCATTTCCCCCTTCCTCCTTCTCCTCCTCCTCCTCCTCCTCCTCCTCTTCTTCTTCTTCTTCTTAGTGACGCCAAAATTGCTCCTGTTGTTTGTCTCATTTTGGTGCTGCCGTTGCTATCAAATATCAGTGTACTGGATATAGTCATGAGGAACATGAAACCATACAGCGTACATGTATCCTTCCAGGAATGCGACCGAGGGGCAGATGCTCTCATCTGTATGTGGTGGACCCCCGCACTTGAGACATATCGAGCTGCCCTCCTTGGGGATCGGAACAGTAGTGTTATACAAGACAGACTCTAAAGAGCCGGAGCGGGAGTATGTCGTGGAGGCTGTTTCCGGTAGGGACGTGTCGAGGGTGAGTTTTCGATATCTTTGATATAGGGTTTCGCACTCCATTTGTCTTGATTTGTGGATTAGAGACCTCGGGGGGTTATATGGAGTCGATGAGGATCTGCTTTCGTTGCCTCTTCTCTCTTTTAGACCTTAGAATATACTTGGACGAGCCAGTAGATTGTCGTTCCTCTGTAGTGCCTTATAGTGGTGAGGTTGACTCGGAAGTTAGAGTAGGTAAACGTTGGGGGGCGCGAGTGTCGAAGGGAAGGTACATATTCTGGACATGGTTCCTGCTTTGTGGAAGTTGTTTTCTGCCTGGTATGCATATGAACTGAGGTGCCTCCTTCTCCTTTCGATCTTACTCTGTCGCGCACTGGACATAATGAGAGTGTTGATGGTGGGGAGAAATGGTAACCGCAGACATAGCTGATGTTTCCATATGTGAGTTCTACCTCACTGCTGAGAGCTTTGACAGGATCGGCAACCTGGATTGATGATATATGACGAGAAAATGAATATATAGTTGAGTAATCAGCTAAGATTTCGCGACATATACGGGATGATGTATGGTTGAGAATGGTTTGTAGTAGTGTAGCTCTATGCCAACAAACGTGGGATGGAAGATATCATACGGCAGGCATTGTATGTATACTGTATGCTCCGGCAGTGAACTAGAAAAGCTTAACGGAAATAAGGAAATCGGTATGTAATTCAAATTCTATATGTGATCCTACTATAGAACAGGCTGAATGCTGAGGTTTAGCGCTGCACTAAAAGCCGGCGGAGCAGGCTAAAATAGTGAGGGGATTGATCGCCGTGGGGTAGAGTGAGATGGTCGCAGTAGTGACAGAAAAACCAATGCTCTAATTGGTGGAATGTTGGATGCAGACTCCTAGGCTAGTACTGAGGCTTTAGAAGAAGTGCGATCTCTCATTAGTGGAAATGAGTATGCACTTCAATAAGAGAATCCGATTTCCAAGGTATCCCATTGAGGGTATTGTATGGTCTAATGGCTAGCCAATCCAACCGTTTCTCTTGGCCGATTTAGGGAGATTTAGTCAAGCATAGACTGTTGAATAATCGTTCAATGTTGATCAACTCTGAAATTCGGGCCCCGCAAACAGTCAATATGATGGTCCACTCGGAGAAATTCGCTTTCATATAGACGTGGAGATGGCCGTCGTGGTATATCATATATATCCTTGAGGCCCCTGGCTTTATTTGGAGCCAATTGTACCATCCATGGAATCATGACTTGCCATTACCAGAAACTGCTTTGGATAGCTCTCACCCTTGGGGTGTCTGTTTCTGCGCTTCCAAGTTCATCAAAAGCTACTAGAGCTGATGAAAACCCATCGCTACCCTTGGCTACCATAGTATCGAATAATCCACAGACAGAAACCGTCTTCGTCGGTCGTTCACTGCCCGAATTCGACCAGGAGTTATTCCTCGGCATCAAATACGCAGACAAGCCTGTCCGGTTCACCCCGTCATCCCTGAAGACAACTTATACTGCGGATGACAGTGACTCTGGGGCATACACAGCCTCCGTAGACGACTTGAACATATCTCAGGAGGCAGTGCTTTACAATGCTACAGATTACGGCTACGAATGCCCTGGATACGGGTCTGATGAGACAAAACTGGTCGATATGAGATTGATAAAATTGGATGAGGGTTGCCATAATTTGAATATTATCCGACCTAAACTACAGTCCAACGAGACACAACTGCTTCCGGTCCTGTTATGGATTTTCGGAGGTGGATGGCAACAGGGCGCAACGGGGGATCCGAGGTAAGGTACTACATCTTAAAAACCCTGGTCAGGTGCTGATTGGGTTTGTCTGGCAGGTACAATATGAGTTACATTGTTCGCCAGGGCGCAGTGAACGATAAACCTGTCTTGGGGGTTTCGATTAATTACCGTCTGGCGGCTTTTGGTCTTTTGGATTCTGAGGAGGTTCGGGTAAGCTTATTAACAGTTGTTGGCCCTCTATTTGGTTCTGCGATTGGGGCTGACGGTTTAGGCCTCTGGAAACAACAATCTGGCGCTTCGAGATCAGCGGGTTGCCATGCGGTGGGTAAAACAGAACATCAAGGCGTTTGGCGGAGATCCGGATAAGATCACGATCTGGGGGGAATCTGCGTAAGTGACGAGTAGATTTAGGCATGGGTTACTGGATACTGACGACCACAGGGGTGCCTATAGCGTTGGGGCGCACTTGGTTGCGAACGACGGGGACAATGAAGGTCTTTTCCGAGCAGGTGAGCTTCCTCCCAGTTTCTGCGTTGGCCCGAGTTCCTGATTCAATAGCAATCATGGAGTCCGGAAATGCCAATGGGCCACCCTGGAATGGGACAGACTGGTACCAGCCAATGTACGATCGCATCGTGAACAAAACGGGGTATGTTTGTCTTTAACATTTTTCGACACTCTGCTAACGAGGTAAAGCTGTTCTTCTTCGTCAGACGCACTTCAATGCTTACGGGATGTATCTTACGAAACATTATACGATGCGGCATATGAAGGACTAGAATGGTTCGCAGCGGTCGATGGTACATTCGTCACGGAGTATCCTCAGATAAGCATTACGCAAGGCAAAATGGCCAAGGTTCCCATCCTTCTGGGAACAAACACAGACGAGGGAACTAGTTTCGGTACGACAGGGACAGATACGGACGAAGAGTGTGTTAAGCAGCTTATATGTGAGTGTTAGCAATCTCCAGCTAAGATACTTACTGACAAGAGTAGCATCAAAACGCTGGGTTCTTAATCGTGAGCAAGCCACCAAGTTGCTTACGTTCTATCCAAATGACCCTGCCCTGGGGTGCCCATACGGATGGGGAAACACCACATGGCCAGATCTGGGACTCATGTATAAGCGATATGAGTCAATGGCAGGCGACCTTACTATGGTCGCACCGAGACGCCTCCTCGCACAGAATATGGCTAAATATAAAAGCGAGGTTTACTCCTATAGATGGGATGTACCCGCTTTGAATACATCCAGCACTATTGGAGTGGGTCACTTCGCAGAGGTGAGTGCCAGGGTTACCATTCATTACTAAGTTTCTGAATAGTACTGAGAGGAACCTAGATTCCCTTTGTGTTCGCCAATCCAGTCCAAAATATTACAGCACTGGGAGACGATCCCGCTCGCCTTGAGCTTGGTAACCTGGCCGCTCGAATGTGGACTTCATTTGTTGCCGATTTAGACCCCAATGGACATAACGGTATGTGCCCTATGTATTACCCTTGGTAAATTGGATATAGGTAGAGATCTAACATACGCAGTTGCCAATATCCCCCAATGGCCACAGTATTCCCAGGAGGCATCGAACTTGGTGTTCCGCCTGCCCAAGGATGGAAGTTATATCGAGGCTGACACTTACCGAGCGGATGGCATTGACTACATCAATAGTATCCCTAGGTAGATAGGTGACTGGAGCTAGTAATGCACAATCTTCAGGCATTACTCAGAGATTAACGTGAATATGATGGATTTCACCTTTCAAACGTGCTGATTAGGCCAACCAATGGAGTGAAACAATCCCAACTCAAGGGATTGCTGACCTGGAACCTAACTTAGTAGAGAACCAATAGTGAGATATATCGATTTATATGGCAAGGTTTAGCCGAGGCTCTTTTGCAGAACCCTGTCACCCACTGAAGGTGCTCGTGTCCTAAGCTTAGAATCCCTGCATGCCGCATTAAGTGAGGATTTGTATCCTTGGATCAGAAAAGCTAGTCTTATCAAACCTTACGACGTACCTGACATCCTCTGCCCCGCTCTGAGTGCTTTCTGGCCACGGCTACATCACACACAATAATGTCACTATGCATGTGGCAAGAACAACTTATCTAGCAGATTTTCACATTGGGAGTAAGGATTGTGGTTGTCTTGCACTTTAGTTTATTGGTAGCCGGACACCACCCAGGCTTCACCGGCTATTTTTTGCAATTTGCAGCTACTATGGTAAAACATATACAAATTTGCATGAATACCCAGGGCAAGCTGATGGATCCGATACCAAGTTCTCATCTGATTGAAGTCCCAGCCAGACATCGGAGTTTCACAATGGAGATTCGTAAGGCAGAAGCCAGGTTAGGAGCTTAGTCCAGATTCTTAGGGCCCTTATTAGCACCCACTAACGGAACCCTAAGGAGGCAAATACGGTGCACACAAGAATAAAAGTAAATTTTGCCCCACATAGTGTTTTTTATTCGACAGCTCGCTGCTCACCTGAGACAGATTAGCTTCCCCCGAATCAATCCGCGCCATCCTAAGACAGGCTGGAAGGCCCAAGACGATGACTGAAAACAACGAGGAAGACACTCGAGAACTATTCTGCTTCTGTGTTTCTTTGATCCTGTTTGAATAGCATAATCTAAACTCGAAAGAGCTATGACCCGTGCGAGAGTTTCCGTGAGACGCAAGCTAGAAGTCTAAATTCCCCGAGATTTGTTTTGACCAGGACGCGGAGTTAATCCGCGCATACGGGACCCTCACCTTGGAATCTTAATTCCGAGATAGTCCAGTCTCGAACCTATCTGGGCGTTGGCCTGGGATTGGCTCGAGCCAAGCCACAATCCTTAACCACACGGGATTATACGGGCATTTTTTGGTGAATGACCCCAGTGGAAGAATGAGCCATAGTGCTGGTGTTGGAAGACCCATGCGATCCAGAGAACAAAGAGCAAGACTCAGAAAACAAGATGGTTTAGGATGTCTCCGAGATCTCGACTGCTCGCGCGGCGACCCCGGATGTGCCAGCAAAGAGTCTGATCCCAGAGCGAATGAGGGCAGCTGGATGTCATTTGCCAAGCTGCCAAGGGAGTCCTGATGTCAATCGCTCGACACCCCCGCATCATTTCCACTCCACCTTTTCAAACACAAAAAGCTGGGGAAAATGTGGGGAGGTCACTGTCTTCCAATTGAGATAGCGATCAGTTTCCCAAGGCCGAGGTAATATGGGGATTTCAAGTCGGCTATCCTGGCTACATGTTGCCTCCGGGCTGGTGGCACGAAAGATGGCGTCTATAGCGCGTTCTTCAATGGGTCTTCATAGTCATACGTTGTGCGACTAACGGGTCACACACTGAAGAGGCAATTGGGTCCAAAAGTTTAAGTGAATAAGTGTATATGAGACTAACACAGCAGACCGCCTCTATATAATCCTACATCTAGGAGGTTGTCCCTGGTGCCCCTCTTCATCTCGACACCCCACCACCACTCTTTCTCCTTTGCTCCAAGAACGCACTTGAGGAGCGAATAATTATTCAATCATGTCATATCCAAGCAGCGAGAAAGATCCCGGCGCAGACACCAGGATTGAAGATATCAATCAACCTGCCCTGAATGATGTCGACTACGATGAAGAATACACATACGCAGAACAGCGTAAGATTATCCACCGGGTGGATAGACGCCTTGTCACCATTACGGGTTTAGCATATTGTGTGTCCCTCATGGACAGGACAAATCTGAGCATGGCTGCTGTCGCGGGGTAAGTTTCCCTGGTGCAGTAGGGCATCTCCCCAAATTGATGATTCATCGGTTGATCGCCCATAGAATGACCAAAGACCTGGGTCTGACAATTGGATCCCGATATGTGTGTCTCAAGATCCCCATCGTACATTTTGAGTCTGTAGCTAACATCAATAGTCCGTGATGGTTCTCATCTTCTTCGTTCCCTACGTGATCTTCCAGCCACCTATGACGGTTATAACACGGAAGATAGGTCCTACCTACTTCTTGGGAACCATTGTCATTCTTTGGGGAGCAATTCTAGTTGTAAGTCGTTCAGCGCGTTGGTGTGTGAATGACTGCCACCGAACAATCTATTGATATTTTTTTTTTTTTTTTTTAAAAGGGCATGGGGTTTGCGAGGAATTGGAAGCATATGGTCGCGACCCGTGCACTGCTGGGCTTGCTTGAAGCAGGTATTTTTCCCAAATCCGATGATCTGTCGCCTGGTGATCGTGGCTATGGAATCCCGGGTAACATAGGACTAATCTGCTTCGATATAGGCTACTTCCCCGGTTGTGTATATCTTTTGTCTAGCTGGTACACTCGGTGTAAGTGTAAACCTACGATACGAGCTACTCTCGGGCACTGACAGGGTTAGTTGACGTGCAAAAACGTTTTTCGGTCTTCTACTTGATCGGTTGCGTAGCGTCAGCATTGTCTGGTATTCTTGCCTTTGGGCTGATGCAGATGGGCGGGCTTCAGGATCTGGAAGGTTGGAGATGGATTTTTATCATGGAAGGCGTGGTATGTACGCTTTCCCCCCAAGCGACCCTCAATTGCTGATTCCAGTAGATCACAGGGGTGATTGGCCTCTTGACTATCACCTTTTTGGTTGATTTCCCTGATAAAGCACACAAGTCTTGGAGATTTCTTAGTGAGAAAGAATGCGCGTTCATCGTCCGCCGTATCAACCGGGACCGTTCCGACGGAGACCAGGAGCCCTTCTCTCTTAAGCGCTTTCTGTCACCTGCCCTCGACTTGAAGATCTGGGGTTTTGCAATGGTATTCTTGTAAGGCACGCCGAATGCATTTTGTTCTCTCTGCGATCCTCTGACATGCAACAGCTGCACTACAACCGTCACGTATGCTATCGCATATTTCCTCCCGATCATTCTTGAACAGGGTATGGGGTTTAGTACCGCTGCTGCACAATGTTTGATTGCGCCACCCTTTGCGTTCGCCGGGATCGTAATGTACGCATCCGCCTGGGTTGGTGACAAATATCGCCTACGAGGAGCAATCGTCATCTTCAATGCTTTACTCTGTATCATTGGACTTCCCATTATGGGCTTTGCGAAAGGCAATGCTGCGCGGTACGTGGGCGTATTCTTCGCCGTGGCCGGCGCCAACTCGAACATCCCAGCTTGTATGGCATATCAAGCGAATAATGTCCGTGGTCAATGGACCCGTGCATTTTCAAGTGCTACACTGGTGGGATTTGGTGGCATCGGAGGAATTGTGAGTAGTTTGGTCTTCAGGTCCCAAGATGCACCTGGATACCGACCGGGCATGTGGACGACTATTGCGTAAGTACTAGCCTTTTATCAAGCCAAGCTTTCACTGCATCGTGTTACTAAGCAGCCTGCAGATGCAATATCCTCATTTTATTCATCGTGGCCTCTCTGAGCTTGTGGTTCCGCCGGTCGAACAGAGAAGCGGACCGTGGGGAGCGCGTCATCGAGGGGTCTCCGGAGTTTCGGTACACGATATGAACTAGCGCACAATAATGGTTTTCTCTTTCCTCTTCCGGTAACCCCCTTGTTATTTCTGTACATATCTCAACAAGTAGTATATTTAGCCGGTGATGAATATACGGAGGTAATGAGCGATGTTGTGTTCCAATACCGACAATATGCTTTGTTCTATGTTTAGGGTCTTAAGGGATAGAATCTGTCGCACAAAAGCAATGGCTGTAAAACCCCGCATAACGCAAATATCGAGAGGGCGGTTCCAGACCGTCGACATGTCGTACAGTACTCGTTAGTCATAGCATGTATAAATAACTAGCCCGGGTGTGCGTCCCGAGCTTGGACCAAAAAGTCGGATCGGAAAGAACCTGTGGAGGGTCTGGTCTGTATGAACCTTCGGGAAAATCGAGAACTGCCCAGATTAGCGATCAAAGGAGTATCGGATAATGCATTGACAAATTGAGGCCAATTGAGCGCATTTGATTGTGATCCATGAGAATTAAAGTATAGTATAATATCGCCATTCGAGGTAGATAAATTCAACAGGAAGAAATACAGAAATCTCCGACCCCGCGTCTTGACCAAGATCATAAGCTATGACTTTCCCGCGGGAAAATAATCTCTTATCAGTCGCGGAGAAGCCAAGCGCGGTTTACTGGCGCGCTTGCGGGGCAACTTCGCAAGGGACCGCAGAGCATTCCCGGATTATCATTGGCTCGGGAGCCAGCGTTATCGGGTTATCGACAGTTTCCCGTGATTGTCCGTATCGCCCGCGGTTTTCCTGCCGGCCGAAGGAATCCAAAGATTGTATGACTTTGCTCGATAAGTTTTTCCCTAGAGCCCTTTTTCATTCTTCTCTTTTTTAAATCTTGTCTCCCTGTTCTTTTCAATTGTATTTCTCTCCCCTCCTCTATCCAACTATCTTACTATCTCATGTGTTGAGCTATCGCCGGGGATTTACTAGATCAGTACATACTTCTATCCCTTGGCTTAGCCAAACCATTGAACACCGCAGTCCGTTGGACTCTCACATTATCACCATGGCTGCATCCTGGTGCGCCCTTCGTGGCACTCGCCAGCTTGCTCTTCGGACTCGCTTGCGCTCTGCCCCTTCCCCCATTGCATTCCGCAGAGCTTCTCCATCCTCTCCCTTCCGCGCCACCCATCGCGCCCTGCACACAGCTACACAGCAGCCGTCGCGACCGGTCTACACAAGCTCAGTAGCTGACCATGGCGACCCTCACCCCCGCGATCTCTTCCAGCCCCTCGACACCTTTCCCAGGCGTCATATCGGTCCTTCGCCAGACGCCGCAAAGGAAATGCTGGCCACTCTTGACCCCCCAGTGGCGTCTCTCGACGACTTCGTAAAACAGGTGCTTCCCGCAGACATTCTGTCCAAGAAGGACTTGAAGGTTACCGATCCTCACGCCAAAACGAATCTGTACCGGGACAATGTGGGCGGTGGTCTCGGAGAGACCGATATGCTGAAGCTCTTGGATGTCTACCGGAAGCAAATTGATGTTTCTGGCAAGACTTACATCGGAACTGGTTATTACGGTACAATTGTTCCTCCCGTGGTCCTCCGCAATGTCTTGGAGAACCCCGCATGGTACACCAGCTACACCCCCTACCAGCCTGAGATCAGCCAGGGTCGTCTGGAGTCACTCCTGAACTTCCAAACATTGACTGCCGACTTGACGGGCTTGCCATTCGCCAACGCCTCCGTTCTTGACGAAGCTACCGCTGCTGCCGAGGCGATGACCATGTCTTTCGCTACTATGCCTGCTTCGAAACAGAAGAAGCCCGGTAAGGCTTACGTTGTTTCCCATCTTTGCCACCCTCAGACAATCGCCGTGATGCGGTCGCGCGCTGAGGGCTTCGGTATCAACCTGGTTATCGGTGACGTTCTGGCGGATGATTTCAAGTTGGTGAAGGAACAAGGCGACAATCTCATTGGTGTGCTTGCTCAATATCCGGATACTGAGGGTGGCATCTATGACTTCCAGGCCTTGAGTGACACTATTCACGGCGCTGGCGGTACCTTCAGCGTCGCCACGGACTTGATGGCTTTGACCGTTTTGAAGGCACCCGGAGAGTTTGGAGCTGATATCGCGTTCGGTAATGCCCAGAGATTCGGTGTTCCTATGGGATACGGTGGTCCGCATGCAGCGTTCTTCGCTTGTGTCGACAAGTACAAGCGTAAGGTTCCTGGTCGTGTTGTGGGTGTCTCCAAAGATCGTCTCGGCAACCGTGCTTTGAGATTGGCTCTGCAGACCCGAGAGCAGCATATCCGTCGTGAGAAAGCCACTAGCAACATCTGCACTGCTCAGGCCCTTCTCGCCAACATGAGCGCCATGTATGCTGTTTACCACGGCCCGACTGGCCTGAAATCCATTGCTCAACGCATCATGTCCATGACTTCGACTTTGCAGGCGAAGCTTGCTGCTCTGGGCTACAACGTTCCGATTAAGACCAACGTCGCCGATGGCGGTGCGATTTTCGACACCGTTACTGTAGAGCTGTCCAGCAGCGAAGAGGCAGACGCCATTGTTGCAGCTGCCCGGGAACAGTCTATCTTCCTCCGCCGCGTGAACCCTACCAAGATCGGTATCTCTCTGGATGAGACGAGCGGGCGTGAAGAGGTCAAGTCCCTTTTGCAGGTGTTTGCTACTCATGCTTCCAAGGGTGAAGTGTCCATTGATGGGGAGCTTGGTATCTCTCCTCTTCCAGCCAGCCTTGAGCGGACTTCAGAATATCTGACTCACCCTGTATTCAACACCCACCACTCGGAGACGGAAATGCTCCGGTACATCCGTCATCTGGAGTCCAAGGACCTGTCTCTGGCTCACTCTATGATCCCTCTGGGCTCCTGCACTATGAAGCTCAACGCAACCACCGAGATGATCCCGATCTCCTGGCCTGAGTTCTCTCAGATGCACCCCTTTTTGCCTGCAGATGTCGCCAAGGGTTACACCCAGATGATTGATGATCTGGAACAGCAACTCGCCGACATCACTGGTATGGCTGAAGTCACTGTCCAGCCTAACTCTGGTGCCCAGGGTGAATTCGCTGGTCTGCGTGTCATCAAGAAGTACCTGGAGGCTAACGGTCAGTCCAAGCGCAATATCTGTCTGATTCCCGTGTCTGCTCATGGAACAAACCCAGCCAGTGCCGCCATGGCTGGCATGAAGGTTGTTACCATTAAGTGTGACATGAAGACTAGCAACTTGGACCTTGAAGATCTCAAGGCCAAGTGTGAGAAGCACAAGGATGAGCTGGCCGCTGTTATGATCACCTATCCTAGCACTTTCGGTGTGTACGAGCCTGGTGTCAAGGAGGCCTGCGAGATCGTGCACCAGCATGGTGGACAAGTCTACATGGATGGTGCCAACATGAACGCCCAAATTGGTCTCTGCTCCCCTGGCGAGATTGGTGCCGATGTCTGCCATCTCAACCTGCACAAGACCTTCTGTATTCCTCACGGTGGCGGTGGTCCTGGTGTTGGTCCTATCGGTGTTGCAGAGCACCTGCGCCCATTCCTGCCGTCTCACCCGGCCAGCGAATACCTTCAGTCTAAGCGTACGGAATCCTCTTCGCCCCCGATCAGCGCTGCTCCCTGGGGTAGCGCCAGCATCCTGCCCATCACCTTCAACTACATCAACATGATGGGTGCCAAGGGTCTTACCCACGCGACAAAGATCACCCTGCTCAACGCCAATTACATTCTCTCTCGGCTGAAGCCACACTACCCGATCCTGTACACCAACGAGAACGGTCGCTGTGCCCACGAGTTTATCCTTGATGTCCGCAAGTTCAAGGAGACTTGCGGCGTTGAGGCCATCGATATTGCCAAGCGTCTCCAGGATTACGGCTTCCACGCCCCAACCATGTCCTGGCCCGTGTCCAACACCCTCATGATCGAACCCACCGAGTCGGAGAGCAAGGCAGAGCTGGATCGCTTCTGCGATGCTCTGATCTCCATTCGGCAGGAGATTGCTGAGGTGGAGAGCGGCGCGCAGCCACGTGAGGGCAATGTGCTGAAGATGTCCCCTCACACTCAGCGCGATCTTTTGTCCAACGAGTGGAACCGCTCGTACACTCGGGAGACGGCCGCCTACCCCTTGCCTTATCTTGTGGAGAAGAAGTTCTGGCCTTCTGTGACTCGTGTGGATGATGGTAAGTTTCCTCGAATTTGCTTGTCTTATTTGATCAGGAGCAAAAGCTAACTTAACTTTTACAGCTTACGGTGACCAAAACCTGTTCTGCACTTGCGGTCCTGTGGAGGATTCTGAGTAGATATATGATACCCATGTTTGATTGTTCATTATTATCGCCTGCGAGATACATATCTTCAACACATGTTTAGTTGCTTGAGTTTTGGGTTGGCATAATGATGGTGACACGACGCCAAGATTCAACATTCATGATAGACATTCGGGGGCGTTCTGGTTATTATTTGCACATTTGAGTTGTACAAAAAGACTCGTCTTAGCAAAGTGAATGATACTTGCCGCCATACAAGCGGTTGATGTTCAGCTGTTCGTCGCGTACCTACCCAAGTAACTTGATTTTAATCATGGCTGGGGCTGAACTTCCAGATCAGTTCAAAATTCAAACCTGGAAGTAGTCAGCATTTACTTGATTAGGAAGTCACCCTCAAGAGGGGGACGGATGGCACGTGAAGACTTCGTGTCAGCTCTTAAGTAAAAGATTGCTTTTACTCAGCCTCCTGAGTGGTCAGAATCCCTCCGGATCCTCTGTTGTGCCTATGACTATCTTATCTCCTCTGCACTAAACCATTCTTGGCATCGGAACCGGCCGTGACCCGAGGTCACGTCCAATCTGAGATGCGGATGTGGTCCTTGTGGAGTTGGAAGGAGCTCAATCTTCAAGAATGATGACATTTCCCTTCTTGGATGAAGTCTCGAGCTTATAAGAAGCCTGTCTCTCCCTCGAGTGTTGAAAAGTACACAACATCATCCCGTGGTGGTACGTACAGTCCATTAGTGCTCTGTCAGGTAGATAAGATAAAGTTCCAACGGTCATCCTTCCGTCGATGACAGGAGTAGCGCAGTAGTTTTCCTTTGCATACACATCAGTATTCAAGGTGAATTCATGACATTCTATTCATTTTGAGGAATCTATGCTAACTTATGGTGTGTAGTTTGGGAGAATTCAATTGATCTACACGCAGAGCGTATCCTGCTACTTCTATCCCTTGTTTTCGACTGGTCTCATATTGATCCGTACGAGCTGAGCTGGTGCTACTTGGCCCCATTGCAACGTAACCTCAATTTATATCGTTGAGAATCGAGAGAATCACGAAACACCAACATGGCCCCGGCATACATTGTCTTCGTCGGTACATTTGTACATCTTCCTCGATCCACGTCAAAGACCCTCGCTATCCAACAGGGGGCTTTATGGGTTTCCGCCGCCGATGGTCGAATCAAAGGTACCGACTGGACTGTCATCACTGTGGGTGATCTGCACGACCTATTGAAAGAAAAGAGCTGGATCCCTGAGGATGCTCCCCGATATAAATCTGGGACGAGAGTAAAGATCGTCCGGGCGAGGGAAGAATATAATGAATTCTTCTTTCCTGGGTTCATTGGTAAGTGGTGACTCGATTCTCTGCCCCGTATGAATAGGCGCGTAGTCATAGATTCATGTATACAGATACTGACAGGTTTAGACACTCACATTCACGCACCCCAGTACCCCAACAATGGGCTCTTCGGTTCCACTACTCTTCTTGACTGGCTAAAGCAGTATACCTTCCCGATGGAGGCTTCATTCGGGAGCTCCCTTCCCAACATCCCGTCCCCCAGGGCATTTAGGGTCTACAATCAGGTCGTCTCGCGCACTCTAGCTAACGGCACAACCTTCGCCTCCTACTTCGCTACCATTCATGTCTCGGCTACGAACCTGCTGGCAACGCTATGCCAAAAACGTGGCCAGCGAGCGCTCATCGGCCGCGTCTGCATGGACAATCCGGACTTCTCCGAGCCCTACTATATCGACTCCTCAACTGAAGAATCCGTCGAATTAAACAAGGAAGTCATCTCGTACATCCAGTCCATCGATCCGCAAGGAACCATGATAAAGCCAATCATCACCCCGCGCTTTGCCTTAACATGCACCCCGAAAGCAATGCGTGGTCTAGCCGACCTAGCCGCTTCCTATGAGCCCCCCCTGCACATTCAGACGCACATCTCCGAGAACAAACAAGAAATCCATGACGTCCACTGCCAATTCCCAAGTGCCAAGAGCTACGCCGACGTGTACGACACATATGGCCTTCTCACACCACGAACTATCCTCGCCCATGGCGTCCATCTATCGCCCGATGAGCAAGATCTTATCCACAATCGAGGCGCCAAGGTCTCTCACTGTCCCGCGTCAAACTCCGCCCTGGGATCCGGCATCTGTCCCGTTCGCAAGCTCCTTGACAAGGGCATCACTGTCGGTCTCGGCACGGATGTCAGCGGCGGGTATAGTCCCAGTATCTTAGAAGCCGTTCGACAAGCCTGTCTCGTTTCCCGGTTACTTCGCCATGTAGAACCGGCCAGCGAAGGCGATGAAGGAAAGAGACTCGTCCTAAGCGTCGAAGAGGCGTTATACCTCGCTACACGCGGCGGCGCAGCGGCGGTCAACATGGAGAATGATATCGGTGGATTCGACGACGGCATGCTATTCGATGCGCAGCTGATCCATTTGGGACGGTTCTTGCCTGCAAGTCGGTATAGCAGTGGTGAAAGCCAGGTTGATGTCTTTGGATGGGAGACATGGGAAGAGAAGATCCACAAGTGGGTGTGGAGTGGTAATGATCGTAATGTCAAGGGTGTCTGGGTTGGAGGAAAGCTGGTGCATGGGGAGGATGATGTGGAGTATGGGTCTCGGTCTAGTTGGTGGACTTGGCTTTTGAGCGCCGGTGTTGTGGGTGTTGGTGCTGTTGTTGCTTTTAGGAGGTTGAGGTTGTAAGATATAGATAGACTCTTTATCTTTTTAGGTGGCTTTTGGTCATCCCAGATTTTACTTGATAATAATAGAGAATAATTTGTCTTTATGATATCAACAACAACAAGATACAAATTAATAAGAAAGGTGTGAAAGGCCTGTCAAAATTATCATACTGAAAAAGCCACATCGAGGCTGTTTACAGCTAAATACCCACCTATAACATTCTTGAGCAAGCTACTATTTCAACGCCTTGTTACTATACCATCTACTGGTAGCCAGAGGACACATAGCCATGGAAAACATCATGTAAAATGATGCAATCAGATATATACTCTAGGTAACCATGTATAAAAGGGCAAGGAAGACTCCTGTAGCTGAAAACCCCAAGTCAAAAGATAATGATGAGTAAAATAAACAGAATATATCAGAATGCAACAAAGCTTCGATTTCCAAACTAGTCTCACTGCAAATCTACTACCCAAAAAGGCCTGAGAGGGTCTATCTCCCATAGCCCTTTGTCTGGAACCTCACTTTAATTCACTACAAGGTTAAGCCCTTGTTGCACCGTTCTTTGAGGAATGTTCCCATCTGCTGCGGTGGGACTTGCAGGTTACTTACTTTCCCAAAGAATCGTCCCGAGTTATTATCGTTTTTGTGATTTTGGGATTAGTGTTTGGGATCCTGATTGACGGATCGGAGGGTGGACTTTAGAGTTTCGATTTTTTTAGGGGTATGCTGTGAGGATAGATGATCTTTGATGGTAATCGACTACGTGTTTGCTTATATTGTAGTGGCTGATTATCTATGTGGTTATGGTTATGATCGTGTTTGGTGTAGGCAATTGTTGTGGAAGACATGTCTTACTTTGATAGGGGGGGATGAATACGGGGATAAGTGAGTACTGTGATGATATTTTATATGAGTTTTTGTAGCCATTCAGGGCATTTGTAAATACTCGAGTCATTCTAGTTTCTTTCAGTTCCGGAGGGCACGCTCAGAAGGTGGGACGTAGGATATTGATATACTCGGATGGGGTGTCCGTTTATCAATCCTTTTCTACAATGTCCAGTTCAATGTCAACTATAATCCAATCAATGAAGGGTAGACCCGTTAATTACTTCACTATGGACAAGACGCTGGCCATTCCATAGCCAGCTTCAATCAATATGAATATGTGCAAGACCACCTGGTGCACCAATCATATCCTTATTGGAACAGCTCAATGCAGTCAAAAATCTAGAGTAAGGAAGTCATTAGCCAACCAATCCATAGCCAAGGCAATAACCCAAAGAAAGCAAGTAAGCACTTACGACGTTAGGAGCAAGGAACTCATCACCGGAGCTTCCGGAAATGATGCTGATTGTGATCTGATGGTTGTGTTAATTATGAACTTTTGGGGGATGCGGGAAGGGAATTGAGGGGTGCGCACAGTGTTTTCTCCTTCGACGATTGTTCCAGATGGAACGCTCACGTCGTATACGTCGCCGAAGCCGCGGTAGGCTCCGCGAGTAACGCCGCGGGAGTCGAGGTTTGTGGGTGCAGAGGGGGCCTCGCCTTCGTAGTCGTTGATCTGGGTTTTGTTAGTGTGTTTTGGTTCTCGGATTATGTGTATGTGTGTCGGTTTTAGAATGGGGTTCCTCACAGTAGCTTGAGGACGACCGCCTGCGAACGAGAGGGTCGTTCCGATACGCAGGGTAGCGGCGCCGGTTTGGGAGGAAGTGGCTGTGAATTTGATTGTGACGGGGTCGTTGACGCCCTTGAAGGCAGCCATTGGGAAGTCAGTGAGCTCGGAGCTTCCTACGGTGTAGGTAAGGGGTCCCCAGGATGACATGCGCGAGTCCGAGGGGTGCATCCGCAGTTGGTTCTCTGCGTTGCGGAAGCCGGTTGGTCTAGGGGTGATAGGTCAGTTATACCCATATGTGACTTTGTAGTAAGGGTGAAATAGGACACATACGTTCCATCCCAGTCACCGATCTTGAAGATGGTGTCGCCTGTTTCCACGGATCCGGAGATGTCCTTGCTTGTTGATGATCCGGCTGTAACAGAAACAGAGGTCTCGGCTACCTTGTATTCGCCCTGGTAGTAGACCATGGTGTAATCGCCTGGCTTCATGGCCGGGGAAGTGAAGCTACCATCTGAAGAGGCGTAGGTCCAGTACTGGGCATCGGCGTTGTACCTGTATTTATTATTAGGACAAATCAGATGCTATTATTGCACGAGTATCGTACCAGTGAACGACCCATTTGAAGCTAGAGTCGGCTCCAGATGCAGTTCCGGATACAGTTCCGCGACCGTCGGCAGCGACGTAGCCCTTGATGTCCAGGTTCGCGAAGAAGGATGTGTCAATATCGGTACTGGGTGTTCCACTGCGGCTGAAGTACATCGAGTATGGCCCATGGAGACCCTGGCGTCTGTCCTCTGTTTGGACGTGGCCCGAGTTCTGCCTTCGTTAACAAGATAACCGAAAAAGATGGTTTATCAAACGTACCATATACCAGTAGAGGGAGTTGTAGTCACCGCCGTTGTTGGAGTTGATATCGCTGTTAAGATTAGTATGCAAGCATGTTGCGTCGCAGATATTGTACTGACCGGAAGAAAGGACCACCCGAGGAAGTCTCGTATTGGTTGAGGATCATGCAAACACGGTGGGCACCTCCGGCGATACCTAGAAGTAGGTTAGCCATGCGCTACAGTCAGCAAGTATGTGCCTTACAATGTCTCTGGTCATCGATGAAGCGCTGGCTGGAGTAGAACTTGCTACGGGTCTCCCCGTCTACAAGAAACTATAGTCTTCGTCAGCTACCTTCATGTCCTTGTGTCATTTTTGTACTTACCACATCCGAGCCTTCGACGACCGAGCCGCCCGCAGTGGTGGATACATCGCCGAACGGTTCCTCGTTCGGTAGGAGCTCCGAGTTAAGGCGTGCAATGAACCGCAGCTCGCCAACGGAGGGCTCTAATGAATTTGATTCAGATAAACGTCAGGAACTCCTTTCTTTGCGCCGGGACGTAAAACTAACCCTCTGTAGTGTATGTCGCCATGTGAATGATCGGGTCGCCATTGTGGACAACAAAATAGTGTGTCAAGGTATCGGTGTCGCAGGTAACCTTGATGTAGTCCCCTTTACAGATAAGTTGTCAGTATATACATGGTCAACATAACTTGTCGTAATTCTTAGCTCACCATCTTCTACCGCAGAAACATCTGCGCTTCCAAGGCCGGAATTAATGTGGCTGCCCTTGCCGGAGTACTGAAGTTCCGAGCCATAGTAATTGATAGAGGTAATATCACAGCTCGAACGGGAAACTGTAAATTTGAGAGGGTTTTCCGACCCAGCGTCAATGACGTAGGAGTCATCAGAGGTGGTAATTCCAAAAGCCGCATTGGCGACTCTGGCCCAAAGAATAGAGGACGAGAAAAGAAGGGTTCTCGACAACATGTTGTCTGTCAATCTTCTGCAGAGTTGTATCCTCTTCCTCCATCTTCGTCATGTTGTCGGCCGTTGTCCCTTTATATTTGCTCCCAACATGACTTTTACTAGTCTCCAGTGCCCAGACCACGAGAGGGGCATGAAGACAAACTACGAGCAACAAAACCCCTGATTAATTTTTCGAAGAGATGGGCCAGTTTAGTTCCACCAATCTCGAAAGCCATGGTTTATTAAGAATCCAGGCGTAGCGCGCACGACTCGACGAACGTACAGGGGACACCGGAGCACTGGCCGTCGCTAAGATGATCGCTGACGAAGTTTCCCTTTTTGAAACCGGCAGTTACAGTTTTTTAGGAAATCCCCGAAGTGCCGTTGGATATTTATGGGAGCAACCCATGGCCAAGAACCCCTGCGTCACCTAGGCGAGTATGTCATCCACTGGACTCCGCATAGGTGTTTCGCCTTTATTCTGAACTTGGGAACTCTTCTGTGGTCATCAAGGAAAGCGCTTTGGTGTTGTCCGGTCGCTTTGCGAAAATGACTTCGGATGTATTTATAGCGAGCACCCGAAGCTATGTGACGATCGCATGTCAGTTTGTTTAGCAGGGTAAATCCTGCCGGACAAACGGCCATATTCCTGTTCTTCAGTGGTGGACTTCGTCGTGAAGCGATGCGGAGTCCCGATTTCAGACTCGGCGGATTTGGGACACTGGTGCATCAGTCCCATGTTAGTGCAGTGGGGCCATATGCTATCTCCATCAATCAGGGTACTTAATGGTGTGATCCGTCCGTTCTTGTGCGAAAATGTGCCGAAAAGCTTTATATTGAACTTCGTCTTGGCATGACCCTAAAATAAATGCTTCTCCGAAAATGGAAGCCAAAGTGTATCATGAGGATTCTTCAGCTCTACCACTTGGATCCCCTCTGCAGTGAACAGCCAATGGTAGACGGCTTGTCGCCAAGAAATATCATTATGGACCGGTTTCCAGACAAGACATTGACTAAGCTGGAGGTTAAGTGTATACCCTGCTTTTGGCAATATTCTGCGATGCGTTGCTTACCCCTTTTCTTTGATGCATGGCTGCTGTCGATGTCTCTACGCCAATGCGTAGTTTGAGGCGGTCTTAAACCTGAGATATGTTTGGCCATTGATGTTCAATCATAAGACAAGGTCATACCCTAAAATGGCACTTCACTGCCAATCAAATGCATTCCGCTAAAAGTTGGCTTGTGGTTGCACACTAAAGAAATTTTTACAGGACATGATCGCTAAAGGGAGCCGAACTATGGTATATTAGTAGTTCACGGTTGGTGTTCACGATTGGCGTTCACGTCTCAAGGATGTCCATGTTGTGGCAGTTGCTGTGCTATCAAACAAGAATTATCACCTGAACATGGTCACGGGTCGCCTTAATCATAATTGAAATGCCCATTGCGCTTATGGATGCTTCCTCGTACCACCCCAGCCCCCACTTCAGCCTCAGCGGTGCCGAGCAACTTCATGGCGCTTGCCGCATTGCTATCCTCAGGTCGGTCTCGTGAAAACAGTAAGAGCTGATTATGCTCCTCAGGAATGCTTTCGATCTGTGAGCTGAGCCGAAGCACGGCTCGAGGTGTATGTTAGGGCCTCGACCTTATGAGTCTCTAACCCGTGGTTGTACAAGGTTAACTCTGAGGATT